CATAGATAGTCCTGCTGAACCAAATGAATTTCAATTCATCTATGACTGGCTTAACAATGAGTGGCTGCAGAAACTTAGTCATATATGACTGGGGGGAGCAATAAGAAGAAATCAACACACCGCAAGGGCTGGTTCACACCGAACTTGCTTAATACCATGGTAAGCGTTCCTGCATGATTCCTGCACATTCCTGTGTGGTGCAATTTTGCAGCATGAATGGGCTTTAAATCGCACCAAAACATAGAAAAGGTAGTGCATGCACTACTTTTAAAAAATGTGTCTTGCCATGTGCATGGGATTGTGGTACCATGCAATTTGTGGTTGCAAGTTCCCTGTTTCTGAGGTCTATGTTTGGGGTGCCATTAACAATACATTGGCTTCCACAGCAAATCTCAAAGGCAGTGCGTTTTGAACACCGTGAAGGACTGTGCATGGGACGCCTTTCCTGGTGTGAAGCAGCTCTAATACATGAAGTGGAGGGCGAAAAGCAGTGAGAGGCAGCACAAACACCATTTAAAACTGATGTGAAGCATATTTAGATTATTTCTACATGCTTATGCTTTACTACCGCCACCTCTCCTGATGCTTCTTAAATATTCTCCTGGCCGTTTTCAGATTACCAGTCATCAGTGGAGCATCTGTCACATGAGGAAGCAAAGCCCTGTTTATGTACCAAGGTGACCCTTTAGAATTGTTTGATCCAATTATGCTATTATGGGTGACTTTTGGCTTTTCTCGAACCTGCTCTTTCAAAAATTTTCCTTTGGTCAGTGTATTCTGACAGCAGAGGAAACGTCGCTCTCAGAATACAATAACACAGCAGGCATGATTGCTCCATCTATCTTGCTTGTTTGTATGAAGGAATATGAGGAATATAGCCAGCCTAATGCAGAGTACACACTATAATTTTTTTTTTTTTTTTTTTTTTTTTTCTTATTCAGCCCAGCGAAAAAAACAACATACAGATCACTGTACTTTCACAAATGATGTAAATGTGGTGATCTCTCCCGCTAAGCTATTCTATTCAGATATGGGGACTACCCCTCCACCAGAACGCACTGATCAGTGCTCATGGCCATTGGCAGGTTTTCCAGCATGCCCATTCAACAGAAGCTGGTCGTGTGTACCCAGATTGAGTCAGTCCTGGGGAAAAGGTCCAATGCAGAGAAACCATAGGCAATACTGGTGACTAGCCCTTGCCCTCTACTTATTATTATAATACAGGATTGATATAGCGCCAACAGTTTGCTCAACACTTTACGATACAAAGGGAGACAATACAGCAACATCACAGTTCAATACAAGGTTAGGAGGGCCTTGCTCCTGGGAGCTTACAATCTAATAGGGAGGGGCTCGTGGAACAAAAGGTAATAACTGTGGGGGATGAACTGATGGGAGAAATAGAAGATTAGGTTATTAGCTGAAGGCAGGATAAGCTTCCATGAAGAGAGGTTTTCAGGGATCACCTAAAAGTGAACAAAGTAGGTGATGATCAAACAGATTGGGGTAAAGCGTTCCAGAGGATGGGGAGGCTCTGGAGAAGTCCTGGAGATGGGCATGAGAATAGGAGACTAGGGAGCTAGATTGCAGGAGGTCTTGGGAGGAGCAGAAAGCACGAATTGGGTGATATTTGGAGACAAGATTGGTGATGTAATTTGGGGCAGAGTTGTAAATGGCTTTATATGTTATTGCTAATGTTTTGAATTTTATTTGTTGGGCAATGGGAAGCCAGTGGATGGATTTGCAGAGAGGGATGGCAGACATGGAACAGTTGGTAAGGTGGATGAGCCTGGCAACAGCATTCATGATAGACTGAAGAGGGGATAGCCGGCGATTAGGTAGGCTAGTGAGGAGGGAGTTGCAATAGTCAAGATAACAAGTGAGTGAATAGGTTGCTTAGTGGTTTCAGTGATTAAAAAGGGGCGTATTTTGGAGGTGAAGTCAACAAGATTTGGACAGTGATTGAATTTGGGGCTGAAAGGACAGATCGGAGTCCAGGATTACACCTAGTACCCTGGCATGAGGGGAAGGACTGATGGTTGTGTTATTGATCTTGATGGAGAAGTCAGGGATGGGGGCACGGGGAGGGAATATTATGAGCTCAGTTTTAGAAAGATTGAGTTTGAGGAAGTGGCGTGACATCCATGCTGATATGTCAGTAACATGAGCGGAGAATGAAGGGGTGGGTGAGGAGTGGAGAGATAGATCTGGGTGACATCAGCATAGAGATGGTATTTGAAGCCATGGAAGTTTATCAAGTGACCAATGGAGGAGGAGTAGATGGAGAAGAGAAGGGGTCTGAGGACAGAACCTTGGGGGACCCAAAAAGCAGAGTAAGTGGAGAGGAGGAGACAGAGTTATAGGTAACACTGAAGGAGCGCTGTGATAAATAGGAGGAGAACCAGGAGAGAGCAGAGTTTCGAAGGCCAAGAGAGTGGAGTTTTTTTTTTTTTTTGAGGAGGGGATGGTCAACAGTATCAAAAGCCATAGAGAGGTCTAGTAGTAAGAGTATGGATTAGTGGCCATTGGTTTTAGCAGTTGGTAAATCATTAGTGAGTTATAATAGAGCAGTTTCAGTGGAGTGTAGTAAGCGGAAGCCAGGCTGTAGGGGGTCAAGAAGGTTGTTGTAAGCGTTCTAAGTGTTTAGAGGTAAACAGGAACAAGGAGATGGGTCTTAAGTTGTTCAGGTTGGTGGGGTCCAGGGAGGGTTTTTAAAGTATAGGTGTGATCAGTGCATGTTTTAGAGGAGAGGGGAAGGTGCCAGTAGAGAGGGAGAGACTGAAAATGTGAGTAAGGGAGCATAGGATAAAAGAAGAGGGTGACCGTAGTAGTTGTGAGGGGAAAAGGATACATGGGACAGGTGGTAAGATGGCCTTCTGAGAAAAATTTAGTAGCCTCTTTGGTAGTAGCAAGGTCAAAAGAGGAAAGTGTTGAGGGTGGTTTTGTATAGGGTATGTTGAGTGGGATAGATATCTGTGCAGTGGAGATGCCCCCATGAATTTCATCAATCTTGTTTTTGAAATGATTGACAATCTCATGAGCAGTGAGAGAGTTACTGGGTGGGGGTGTAGAAAGTAGAGAGTTAAAAGTAGAGTGGAGACAATGAGGTCTGGATGACAAAGATTATCGTTTTGGGTCTGGCTTCCACAGTTCAGTTCCTTTTTAACCTTTATGAATTAGTGCTCGTTCACATATATGCGGATTGGATGCGGTTTGAACCGCATTCAATCTGCTTGACATGTGAAAAAACATTGCTTCCTATGGTGCCTGTTCACATATGTCTGGCGCACTGGCGGTGTGGATTCAGTGTGGTTTTGAAAAGAGTCCTGTCTGATTTCTGAACAGTGTGGTCCGGTTCAGGTGCGGATTACAGACTATTGATTTCTACAGGAACCGTTTCTAAACCGCATTTGTGTGAACAGGATAAGATCCTGAGCTAATCCTGTCCTGAACCTGAAGTAAACCTGACTTGAACCTGTGAACAACTACTGTATTAATTAGCTGTGAAACCTGAGCTTCAATCTGCACTGTACATGTGCGAATCAACATTACAGATAATACTTTTCAGATAAAGTAACTGTTTTCTTTGTTAGATGCATCTTTAAACAACTGGGCTTACTCCATAAGGGGAAGAGCAAGTTGCAATTTGCCTAATGCGGTAACCAAGGAGAGATGCATTTTCTGGGTCCTCTCAAGGGTGAGATCTCCCTATGGTAATGATTGGACATATATTTTAGGTCAAATTAATGGAGGGCTACATTTAAATTCAACACATAGAGATAAATCACTATTTGTTGGAAAACAAGACAGAGGTATCAATCACTACATAATGAGATGTGTTTAAAGCTACTCTTAGGAGGGTGTACACTAAAGAGGTTAAAGATTTTACTAAACTTCTAGATGAAAAAGTTTTAAAGATGAAAGAATCAGTAACTGCAGCTGAAACCCTTTACATTCAAGGTTCTCCCTCTGCTAATTACTGAGATTGGCATATGTAAATATTGTTTACTAAACTAACAAACCTGTAAAAGAAATGTATATCAACGAAGGCAAATTTTTGAGTTTGGAGATAAAAATAGCTGTTTATTGACTTTTTTGGTAAGGCCAGGATACACCCAAGGGGGTTGATTCACTAAAACTAGAGAGTGCAATAATTGCTGGAGCTATGCATGGTAACCAATCAACGTTTAACTTCAAATTGTTTAGTTAAAATAGAACTGTAGGCAAAACTTTTTTTTCTCATTTTGGATAGAGTAAGGGAGGGTTATTATCCCTGTCGGATGTTTTTTCACCAGCCTGTTGCGGAGATTTCCCTTCACTTTCTGTCCCATAGCCAAACAGGAAGTGAGAGGAAGTCCCTGCATATTAAGGAAATTCCTTGGGAGAACCGCAGGTCACCAGAACTAGTGTCCCCATTGGAGGATTTCCCCTCTATTACATTTCTGGGGACAACCCAAAAATCTCCCTAACGGGGGCAGAGACAACTTTAAAAACTGATGGGTTCAAATCCCTCTGCACTATATCCAAAATTTAAGAAAATGTTTTGCCTTTAGTTCTACTTTAAGCTTTGACAAAAATAAAAACAGCAAGCTGATTGATTTATGTGCAGAGCTGCACTAGATTTTACACTCTCCAGTAATATTAAATCAACACCAAGTTGTCATAGTGGGGGACACAACAGATATCCTAGCTACTTTCCTGCAATTTTTTTAAACTCTACAGTAAATACATGTCATATTCATTTTATAAAACTCTATATACATCTCATGTCCTGTCATAGTGGGGGACACAGTGGATGTCCTATCTACTTTCCTGCATTTAAAAAACCTTTATATGCATCTCAAATACATGTAAATAAGGAAGAGATTAACTCATATTTCTTGTCCATCAAGATCCCTAAACTGACGGTAGACCAAAAAACATAGAGATTTAATTCAACTACGTTTGTAAGCACTTATCTGCATTCTTGTTTTTCAGACTAGATTCCATCCCTACTGACAATGGTAGATGTGGGAAAATGGCCAATTTTTGCACTTTGCCCTCAAGAGGACCTGAAATCCATTCAACAGGCTTGTGTGTTTGGTTCCGGAAATGAGGTTTTATACATCACAAAAAATGATGAGGTATGTATTTAAGTCCCGTGTCTCTCTCCAATGAAAAAAAGGCATCCAAGAAGTGCTGGGATTTTCATATGAGTTTATATAAAGTGGTGAGAGGGCAAAAACAGTTGAAGAGTCCACTGGCTCAGGTTAGGCTGCTCACGGCAGACAAGGGTACCAGTGGGTACCCCAGCAGGTTACCAGAAGAAAAAAAAACTTGCATACAAGGAAGGAGTACCAGACCAAAAATAAGAGTCCAAATTAATTTATTGGTATTGTGATAAAAGATAACCAATGCATTTCATGGCCAAAGGAACTCTCCCTTCATCAGGGCTTCAGTTAAAAATGAGAACCTTGAATGGACTCAAAGCTCATGTAGATACTGCAGGCCAGTAATTCTTCTAATCCAGCATCAGCTTCCCTGCACAGATTCACACAAGAAAGCCTTACTTTGAGTTCATTCAAAGTTGTTTTTTAACTGAAGCCCTAATGAAGGGGGAGTTCTTTTGACCCCTGAAACACATTGGCTGTCTTTTAGCACAATACCAATAAATTAATTTGGACTCTTTTATCTTTTGGTCTGGTGATCCTTCCATTTATGCATGTTTTTTTTCTCTCTTTGATTGGTGACCTGGTGCTTTCAAGTTTTGTGACCAATATAAATGAATAATTCCTCCTGCGCTGCCAATCTCTAACCTAGGTGTGCGAGTTGCGGAAAACACCTAATGGTGTTTCCACAAGCCAAATAAATCCAACTAAAATAATGCTGCACTACTCAATTGTAAAAAAACAAACCCACCATCAGTATATAAATAAATAATTAAATAAACACCTGGCTGAACACATCTTAAGTGAAAATGAAGTGACTGATATTCAATCAATTGCCGTAAAACATATATTAACAAACCTCCAGTGCTTACATGATTAATAAATTCAAAAGTAAACACCAGGTGGAGCACCTCTCCTTTTGAATGAATATAAAGAGAGACTAAAAGGTGATAACCACATCATCTGTGCAAGAAACTAAAGCATTCAGTATAAAAGAATATAATCAATGTAGGTAAAAATATATATCCGATAATCCTAAGCAAACAAATTCCTTTCCAATAAACACCCGGCCAAGCATCTCTCCTATAGTTGAAGAGGCAGTGAAGATAGTTAAATCAATTTTGATAATGCTTAAGTCCAACGTGAAGTCTTCAATATGAAAAAAATATATAATAAATAAACACACGGCTGCACACCCTGCATAAGTCAAAATAGGTACAAAAGGTAACAGTGTAAAACAACAAATAAAGTCCCAATAAAGTGTATTGTGCAAGAAAAATTTGTCAATATTCAATGAATCGGTCAGTGAACACAGCTTGTGCTCTTCCACCAGCTAGTATGCACGCTCCCCTCCAAAATCTAAACTATAGGTTATATAGGTCATAAATGTTTTTGGTCAGTAAATTTTCAAACAGCTTTCTTAGATGTCTCCTCCTCTGCAATGCATCAATCGACTCCTCTCCTTTGGTCCATGCTCAAAAGAACAAATCACAAGGGCCTTCCCCTAGTGTAATAAGTTTATTAATACAATCAATATAAAACAGATAAAAACCTACTCACATTTTAAAAACTGGGGCCACAGACCCTACAGGTTTGTATAGTATTGAGTATAGGGATGGGTGTACCAAGTTGGCGGCTGCCGTCCGAAACCTTGCATGGACTCAAACCTCATGCAGATACTGCTGGCCAGTAGTTCTTCTAATCCAGCAATCAGCTTCCCTGCACAGATTCACACAGGAAAGCCTTACTTTGCGTTCATTCAAGGTTCCTATTTTTAACTGAAGCCCTAATGAAGAAGTTAATTTGACCCCTGTAATGCTTTGGCTGTCTTTTAGCACAATACCAATAAATTAATTTGGACTCTTTTATCTTTTGGTCTGGTGATCCTTCCATTTATGCATGTTTTTTTCTCTCTTTGATTGGTGACCTGGTGCTTTCAAGTTTTGTGACCAATGTCTCTACCTATGTCCACTCTAAGTGTGTGAACGTTGTATGTATAGTGCCATATGAATGAATCATTTTGTGTACTCTTGCTATAAAGTCTTTTTATTTATTCCAAACTAATTTGGGGCTAACTAGAAAGAAACTTCAACAAAACTGATCAGATTCCTTTTTACATTAAGATTAACCAACCTTGCTCCAATTTTTGTAATGTGGTCCATATGTATTTACATAATCCATTTCTTGTACAAAAAAGTATAAATAGGTTTAACATTTTATAGGGAAAGTACAGTATGCTGTATATAGTTTCTTCACTTATAGTTAAGTTTACAAATTTGTAAACCTTTTAAACAAATTTAGGTCCCTTTCACATGGGCGATCTGGTCCGTTTTTCAGGCGGACCTGATCAGATGGTCCATGTATCCCTATAGACTGGCAGTTGTAAATGGACTTGTGTCCATTTACACCCCTCCTACCTCCAATCCAATCAGGTCTGCTAAAAGAAAACGGAAGGGGATCTGTTCCCCTTCATCTAGGCCTGAGAGGATCAGAAGAGTGACTCTTCTCCCTCACTCCTTGCATTTTACAACTTCAGGAGTTTCAAATAGAGCAAGAGTCTAGAATAAAGAAGCTATAAGACCCATAATGCTGTAAAAACCTATCATCCTACATAAAATGTTAACTTGTAATTAATAATGTAATATAGTAACAAAAATGGTATAACACAATATAAATTTTGAAAGAAATTAAATAAACCTGGCCTAAAACCATTGTATAGTTTCCCTATAGTATAGGATTAGTTTGTTCTATATATTTAGGAAACAAGAAACTTGTAGCGCAGTTTCCAGTTAAGTCCAGCACATCAATATGACAGCCAGGCAGCTAGCCTTTTTGAAAGGCAAGTTTAGTAATGACAACCTGTATTTCTCAGGATGATGATGGCGATTGACTAGTGCAGTGGTCTCCAAACTGCGGCCCGGGGGCTGGATGTGGCCCTTTGCTTGCCTTTATCTGGCCCTTGAGGCACTATTCCACTCACTGACACAAGGTACTATTCCTTCTAGTGACACCAACAATGGCGTATAATTACTGTTACTGATGCCAACAATAGGGCTCTATTCCTTCAACTGACACCAGTGATGGGGTACTATTCCTCTCACTGACACCAATGATATGGAACTATTCTTCCCACTGACACCAATGATGGTGTACTATTCCTACCACTGACACCAATGATATTGAACTATTCTTCCCGTTGACACCAATGATGGGGCACTATTCCTACTACTGACACCAACGGTGTGGAACTATTCCTCTCACTGACACCAATGATATGGAACTATTCCTCTCACTGACACGAATGGTAAGGACCTATTCTTCCCACTGACACCAATGATGGTACACTACTCCTACCACTGACACCAATGAAGGAGCACTACTCCTACCACTGACACCAATGAAGGGGCACTACTCCTACCACTGACACCAATGTTATTGAACTACAGTATTTCTCACTGATACCAATGGTATGGAACTATTCTTCCCACTGACATCAATGTTGGGGCACTATTCCTTTCCCTTTTCCAAACAAGGGGGCACTATTCCTTTCCCTGAACCCTTATGACGGGGCACAATTTTTTCCCCTACTACCAGCAATGGAACACTAATCCTCCCACTAATACCAATGATGAGGCATTGTTTAATCCCATTGACGCTGGGAAATTTTCTGCTTACACTGGCCACAGTCCGCCCCCCTCAAAATCTAAAAGAACAGTAAACTGGCCCTTTGTTCAGAAAGTTTGGAGCCCCCTGGACCAGTGAAAGGAAGAGATTGACAAAATAAATGTTTTGTAAGTATATACAGTATACCTATATCTACAGCAGATAAATAGCATAACATGCAGGATTGGGCTCTTTTTTTTTTTGGTGTGAACTACATTTGCAGTTGTGTATTTGCAGGTCTTTGTGATGGGGACAAACAGCAGTGGCTGTCTAGGGACTGGAGATGCTCAGAGTACGATTGAACCAAGGTGTCTTCCTATGCTCTCTGGAAAGAAGATGGTGAGCCTCAGCTGTGGAAGTGGACCACATGTAGTCATTGTTACTTCAGGTATGTAGAACAAATTTGAACTTGTTAGAGGGTCTGGCAGGCCGTATGCATTGCATCTGCTACAAATGTTGCCATCTTGTGGTTTTCCTCTGTAAGGCTAGTCATATTCTGTATGTATAGATGACTCTTTTTCTGCTCTTGGGCTGAAAGAGAGAATTCAAATAGATTCCTCCATCTATGATGAACAGTGTGGATGAAGGAATTTTTCCTTTGGCTACTTTGTCAGCTGGCACCTGCGACTGTCAGAATTTCTGCACAGTGACTGCATTTGACTGGATGAAGATACTGTTCAGCCAACAGTGTTCCACCCTCCCTATAAGGAGGGGGAGATTGGCCTCAAAGTTTCCTGCTTGGATGGTGATTATTTGAATCTGTTAGCCATTTTAGGCTTTTAAAAGTAGTTGTCCTTTCTATGACCAAGCTTCGCTAAGCAGTCACTATTGCTTTTCTTACCTTCCTCTGTGCGCCCTTAATTCAATTTCATTGTACTGCTATGGACTTGAGTTCTATCTCTTGTAAGTCCAACCCAACTGCTCGCATATTGATAGGTAAAAGTCCCCTTAATGATTAAACAATTGCTCTAATTGGACAGCCACATAATAGTTGAGCAGGATTTAGCTCAGAGGTACAGTAAGTGGTTGTCAAACTGTGACAAAGTGAAATGTAAACAGAAGGGCATACAGAGAAGGCCAGTGTGATTGTGTCCATGACATCCTAGGCATGTGATGCTGGGTGTCATGCAACCCAGGACAGCAGAGGCAGGAGGAGGATGGAGTAGAGGTACTGAGGGAGACTGTGAAAGAAAGAGGGTTAGTATTTCAGAGACTGCTGCTCTTTTTTGTTTTTGTTTTTTAGATGTGCTGAGCAATTTATTTTTCTATTGTTTTTTAATCCTGCAGTTGGGACTTAAAGTGAACCCACCTAGGGCAAGGCAAGAGGTCCACTTAACTGTCTCTCTTGTTTGCTGCATGTACTCTCCTTTCTTTCACTCACCTACAGGATGCATAGATAGGAAGATTCTAAGGTCAAAGTTGTAAAGTAGAGCTGCTGCTCTTGCCCCCCCCCCACTGGGTACCTAAGTGTTCACTAACCTAGTACCAGCTCTGTCACATAAGAGGAAAGTGAGTAAGTCACATGTTTGCCTATACCTGGAAGTACCAGGTCTTGCTCTTCACTGATGACATCCTAACACGGCAGTGTGGGAGTGAAGGAAGGGTATGTGTAGCAGGGAAGGGTGACAGTTAACTGAACCCAGGCTCTTTCCCTGCAAGGGCAAAGCACAGGATTACTTCTAGCTGATTGAGAAGTCTTTTATGTAACTCTAAGAACATATCTGATTTGTCATTGAATGGGTAAAAAATATAAAAAGTTACACCTTGGTCATACAGTATGTATGGTAAACCTATAACACACTCTATTCTATGGTCTTTCCTATTGCAAAAACGTTTAACAGATACATTAACTTTTTAGGCCTCATTCGCACCTGCGTGCTGTGTAGCTCAGAGCTCCAAGACACTCAGTGTTGAAAATCTCATGGTTTTAATTTGTGCCCATTCACACCTGAGCGTAATGTTGCTTGTAGACTGAAAAGTGCACAATCTTCTTTTGCTACAAACATTTTTGGCCCCAATAGATTTCAATGGGTTTGTCTCAGATCCGTGTGAACATGTGCAAAAAAAATGCAAAGAAGTGCAAACGTACATAGTAGCCTGCTTTCCATTGGCTAAGATATAGTTTAAAAAAGGCTCAAGCCTCAGGTATACAGAAAAATGTGTTCAAATAGCAGCCAACAGAGAATTGGGTAAGAAAATAATTATGCCTGTTCATAGCTTTCGGCTTGTATTTGTCCCTCAAGGACTGCATCTGTGTATCCATGTGTTGTTCTGTGATGTTTTTTGGGGGGGTTTTACTGTTAAATTTTGTCACTATTCTGAATTTCAATGGTTGAGCCAACCTGGTATCAATTATTTTATGGGACTGTTCTTGTACATTAAAAGGTGATATATTGGAGCAATGGTTCATGATCTCCCTTTGTTATATCACAGTCTCGTTTTTAAAATGGGGAATCATCTTTTTTTTCCCTTTTTTTATTAGAATTTTTTCATGCTTGATGTAATAATAGTACTAAACTTTGTAATATTTTACATGTTGTTAAGATAGATAATGGACCGTTACCCTTATTTTGTTTCTGCAGATGGAGAAGTATATAGCTGGGGTCATAATGCCTACAGCCAGCTGGGCAATGGATCCACAAATCAAGCCTTAACTCCGTGCCAAGTGTCAACTAACTTAGTAAATAAGAAAGTTGTAAGTGTGGCTTGTGGCTCACACCATTCAATGGTAACTACGTCTGATGGTGAGGTAAGCAAAAAATCAATGATGTCAGTCTTGTGCACATGAATGCCTATAGGGAGTGAGTTCTCACTTTTAATGTGTGGTGTGCACCAAGTACTTAGTAACACTTTGCAAACTTCAGTAATACAGTGCAAGAAGCAGTTCATTAAGTGTAAAGTTTACTACCTATAGCAGCTAATTACTGTTACTAATACTAAAAGATGTGCTGACTGGTTTCTGTTGTGTAGGGGTGATGTTACAATGCAAGGCACTGTTTACATTTTTTCTTTTTTTATTTAGCTTTATTAAAATGTCACTTCATACAGGTCTGTGCAGCACAGCGCATTTTTGTGCACTGATTTGGCATGCGGTGTGGTAAGTTCTACCTTGTAAAAATACAGGATGTCTGCAATTTTACGCTATGCAACACAACCCACCTCAATACAGTATTGTGGTGAGAACAGGACACATGAACAACAACTGTTATGTGTCTGCGGATCAACACAATTCAATGGAGATAGTATGAAGGAGTCCTTTTAGTGTTCTTGTTTCATGGAAATTAATTGAACTCACCTCTTTGTTCCTTGCAGTCCTAACTGAAAAAGCCTAAAATGTATGGTTTTATATTAACCCCATGCAGACAGGATTCTAGCAAAGTAATTACCTTGTGCAACGGCTGTGGTTGACAGCGTCAGGCCATGCAAGCATTGTAGCCCTTGCCACTTCATCAGATATGGGTTTTTTGGTTTTTATTAATTCATTTATTTATTGACACATTTTCCACTGGGTGTGCACTGGTGCTCAGGCAAAACATTTGTTAAAAGTCATCTGAGAAATAGAAGATCTTACATGTACTGTGAAAGCCTGTGAAAATGCTTTTATAGCATGGCTAGCTCTAACCAAGAATAAAGTGTTGGGTCTTACTTGTAATCATCCATTTCAGAATATGACTCCTTCCTCTGTTATTTTGTGTTCTTTAAACTGTGTATGAACTCTGGTATTTTATGAAGGTTATCATGCACCATTCACTTAAAGAATTCTAATATAAACCCTGGTGAATATCCCCAGAGTGAGTATCATTTTATTTTACTAAAGTGCTGGGTATCATAAACTATTGCCAATTCTTAAAATAAAATACTTGTTTTCTCCTTTTTTAACATCCTTTATTGAATCTCAGTGCTGCTAATGCCCTGCAGCTTCTTTGCAGCCACTTACTATCTACACTCCAACTGAATGGTGTTTTCTAAGCTGGCCATACACTAGTAGAATTTTAATTTGAACATATTTGTTTTAAGATCATTAGTTAGATTTTTTTTTTTTTGTTAGAGGGGTCAAATCTACACTATACTGCCAAAAGTATTGGGACACCCCTCCAAATCATTGGATTCACATGTTCCAATCACCTCCATGGCCACAGGTGTATAAAATCAAACACCTAGACATGCAGACTGCTTCTGCAAACATTTGTGAAAGAATGGGTCGCTCTTAGGAGCTCAGTGAATTAATGCGTGGTACGGTGATAGGTTGCCACCTGTGCAATAAGTCCATCCGTGAAATTTCCTTGCTAGTAAATATTCCACGGTCAACTGTTAAAAGTGGAAGCAACTGGGAAGAACAGCGACTCAGCCACAAAGTGGTAGGCCACATGAAATGACAGAGCGGTGTCAGTGCATGCTGAAGTACACAGTGCACAGAAGTTGCCAACTGTCTGCAGAGCCAATAGCTAAAGACCTCCAAACTTTGTGTGGCCTTCAGATTCGCACAACAGTGCATAGAGAATAAACAGTAATATGGTGCAGTGCTACATATACACATAAACTCTAAATAAATAATAATAAATGAACCAGTGATATGATCCTCACAGGATCTAAATTAGACGTGAAAAAAGTGAACAAATGTGAACCCACACACAAGGTCCTATGTTTGGACCCAATAAGTGAACTGATATATATAAGTGATGAATAAACATATATAATCAACCCAATCCCTAACAGGGGATGAAATACATACACCAAATGTGTACACAGTGAATCCCAAATGCGGGATATAAATGCAACAATATAATAAAGTGCTAAAAGTGTATACACCTATCTGTGTATACAGTGAATCCCAAATGCGGGATATAATGCAACTGAGTGACAAAGTGCTCAAAAACAATAAGCATATAATAAAAACACAATCAATCAATACGTGAAAAACAATAAAAATTAATAAAAAAGTCCAATAAAGTGCAAAAATGAAACTAAGGTGCTTCACTGCTCAAGGGCATGCAACATGTGCAGTGTATGTGCACACCACACCGATTAAATTATCCTTCAATGGCTGTAATGGCCCCTCACCGCAAGCCAGCGACCCCAAAGGGCCAATGCGCCTTTTGGATCACACCTGGATCCTTCCTGAATATGCACTCCTTGCTATCCGATCTCCAGGGACTTTATCCACAATGGCACGACACAGATTTCCCTTCCACTGGATAGGTAGGTAGGTACCCTCAAAATTGCTAACTTACTTTCATTTAGCTCCTTTGTCATTCTGTGATCAGAGAATCTTTTACGACTTTGGCCTGTGTCTGTGGCTGGTCTGTCTTTGAGCATAACTTTGTGTGGACTTCAGATTAGCACAACAACAGTGCATAGAGAGCTTCATGGAGTTGGTTTCAATGGCTGAGCAGCTGATTCCAAGCCTTACATCACTAAGTGCAATGCAAAGCTTTGGATGCAGTGTTGTAAAACATGCCGCCACTGGACATGCCGCAGTGGAGACGAGTGACTACCCTGTTCTCTGGAGTGACTACCCTTTCTCTATCTGGCAATTCGATTGATGTGTCTGGGTTTGGCAGTTGCAGGATAATGGTACTTACCCGGCTGCATTGTGCCAAGTGTAAAGTTTGGTAGAGGGGGGATTAAGGTGTGGGTTTGTTTTTCAAGGGATGGGCATGGACCCTTAGTTCCAATGAAGGGAACTCTTAAGGTGTCAGCATACCAAGACATTTCGGACAATTTCCTTACATTTTCCTGTAACTGTTGTTGAAATGATGGGGTTAGTGAAGGCATGGGTTGGAAATGTTTTCTCAAGCAAGTTTCTAACTGTGAATGTGGTTTTAATTTGGGAAAGTCTATTCACTCTAAAACTGAATGTTAAAAGTAAATTTTCACAAATGATATTCATGCCATCAAATGTAGTAGAAGGTTTGTGCAGATATTCATACGAACATTTATTCAAAAATCTGCTAGTGTATGGCCAGTTTTAGACAAAACAGTGTTCCCTGGCTGCATAAAGTGTGTTTAAATGACTACTTATAGTCTCCAGTGGAAGCCCATGTGACAGGGGGTGGCAAACAATTGATGGACAGTTGTCATCCCATAATAGGAAATGGTCCTTCATGGCATACTTATCAAGTATTATTTTAATAAAAGTTGCAGATTTAAAAGTAATGAAAGGAAATTTTGAAAACATTAACATTCATGATTGGGTATACAGTATGTATGCTTTAGTTGACCACTACAAAAAGACAATTATATAATTATTGCTTTAACCACATGCCGCCCAGCCACTGTACATGTACGGAGGCAGGGCGGCACTCACAGGCAAAAGCACGTTTTTAAAACAGCTGCCTTCAAAACAGGTAGGGGGCGCGCCCGCCCTACCTGTCCCGTGGGTGTCAACAGCGGGTGTCAGCCGACGGGTCACGGCCGGTTTTTACCGGCCGTTTTCCCGCGATTGCCGGTGATTGCTGACACAGAGCAGAGCTGCCTTGTTTACACACAGCCCTGTTCTGTGTCAGTTCTCTGACAGCTTGTGAGAAGCTGCAGAGTTTCTCTCCCTCGATCAGCTCCCCCCTCCCACCCTCCCCCCCCCCCTCCAGTACACACCCCCGCCCCCTAGTAAAACACTCCCCTTACACTTCAAATTCTAAAAATGTTAACCCCTTCCTCCCCAGTGACATTAGTACAGTTTCAGTGGGTTTTTTTTCACTGATCACTGTATTGGTGTCACTGGGGATGTCAGTGACCCCAAGTCAGTTCCCCCCCCCCCCAGTATCAAAATGTCCGCCGCAGTCCTGCCATAAGTCGCTGGTCGCCACCATATGTCGCTGATTGCCGCCAAAAGTCGCTGATCGGCGCCATTATTAGTATAAATAAAAATTAAAAATTCAAGTATCTTTCCCACCATTTGTAAACGCTATAACTTTCACGTAAACCAATTAATTTACACGTATTGGGATTTTTTTTTAGCAAAGACATGTCGCACAATGCATTTTGGCAGAAATTTATGACTAAATTTGATTTTTGCATTTTTTTTTTTACTGGACATGTTTTATAGCAAAAAGTCCAAAATATTGTTTTTTTTTCCTCAAAATTGTCAGCCTTTTTTTAAAAAAATAAAAACCGCACAGGCGATCAAATACCACCGAAAGAGAGCTCAATTTGTGGGGAAAAAAGGATGTAAATTTCATTTATGTACCGTATTGCATGACCGCGCAATTGTCCGTTAAACTAGCGCAGCGCTGTATAGCAGAAAAATTTCGTAAATTGCAGTATTTATACCATAGTTTGTAGACGCTATAACTTCCACACAAAGCAATCAATGTACACTTATTGGGATTTTTTTTTTTACCAAAAACATGTAGCAGAATACATTTTGGCCTAAATTTATAACCAACTTTGAGTTTACTATATATATTTTTTATAGCTGAAAGTAAAAAATATTGTTTTCCTCAAAATTTTTGGCCTTTTTTTGTTTATAGCGTGAAAAATAAAAAGCGCACAGGTGATCAAATTACACCGAAAAAAAGCTCTATTTGTGTGAAAAAAAGGACGTAAATTTCATTTGGGTGCAGCATTGCATGACCGCGCAATTATCAGTTGAATTAGTGCAGCGCCGAGTAGCAAAAAGAGGCCTGGTCATTAAGGGGGGTAAATCCTCAGGTGCTCAAGTGGTTAAGTGCGATTTACATGTTTTAATGCATGCAGGAACCTTCTCTTATTTCACCTCTGTTTTGCCTTTTACCATGGTAATTCATGATGCAGCTCTTGCATCCACTGAAGAGGTAGTTGATAACCTCATGTGTGGTATAAAAGAATTTAAGATATTCTTTTTTTTCAAAGGTGTATGCTTGGGGATACAATAATTCCGGACAAGTTGGTTCTGGCTCTACTGCTAATCAGCCTATTCCAAGAAGAGTTACCAGCTGCCTACAGAATAAGTGTGTTACTGGCATTGCTTGTGGACAGATGAGTTCTATGGCTATTGTAGAAAATGGAGAGGTGAGATGTGTGAAATGATTGTACTTGAGCAAGTGTACTATGATGGCCTTAGGCTAACATCTAAGACTATAATACTATGTTGTTAGTAGCAAATCCACCAGCTTTTCAGTGAAATTATGGGTTACTCAGGGCCTCATTCTCCACAATTATGTCTTGATGAGGTTCAGGAAATAGTGTTCACTAAATGTGTACAGTGCTTTCATGAGCAATGTTTAGAACAACTAGTCTGTTGCTCCAAAGTGACAAGACAAGGGTCTCCTAAGGCTTCATCCCACAGTCAGCCCCCACTGACAACTCCATATTGTTAATGTCATGCATCTCATTGACCGTTTTGGTGATTGTTTTTTTTTATTTATTTTTATGGGGATAGATTAATCCATCTGTCAGATTTTTGTTGCTGTGTTCTCAAATTTACCTTCTTTTCAATCCAAGTGACAGTTATTACTGGGAGAGTAAATGACTGGATCTTTCCCAATGGCAACACTGCCTGGGTTAATGGCTTCAAAGGGTGGGGTTTGTTTGCCAGTAAGAAAGATTTCCTTTTACTGCCTTTGAGTGACTGGAACAGGAAGCAAGGAAAAATCACCTTAGTCACCAAGGAATATCTGACAGAGCAGCTAACCCCTACCCTTTCTATCAAAAATGAAAAAGGGTAGCGTTCCCACAATGAAGTACGTATACCTTTAAAAGAGAAGTTTGAGCTTTAGAAAAAAAACATTATGCTCATTTAAGTGGATGTAGCATCGATCTGATGCTGCATCTGTCCCTCAGTGGCTCTGCACAGAGAACTGAGCAATCAGACACTGTGATTGCTTAGTTCTCCGTGACTGTCAGTCTCTGACTCTCTGCTGTGCCCCTTCAGCACTCACTGTAGCACTGGCGAGTGGAGGGAGTTGGAGGGGCTGGCTCAGGCTCTTGGCATATCGCTGAAAGGTTGAACTAGGTAACGGTCCAGGCTTTTGGGTGGATCCCAACCATATGGTCAGGATCTCTTCAAAGCCTGGACTGGCTCTGTGACGTCAAGTGGGTCACAAGAGTGTAGAACTAATTTCACTCCTGTGATCTATCCAAGTATAGCCAAAAAAGCTTTGGCTATACTTCTCCTTTAATTTATTAGTCTTTATTCTTACATTTTTTATTTAGGACAATACCGCCCACAACCTTCTGGGACATGTCACAGGAGGCTGCAAGACCATTCATACAGCTCAGCACGGCTCGTGTATGTATTCACAGCCAGCTTCCCTTAGTAAACATGCCAATGCTGGGGACCCAAAGTGTCCTTTTTTATAAAAAGTCTGCAGCTACAGTATTTGTGGCTACTGATGTTTAATTTTTAAGACTGAAGATCCTCTTTAAGTTACAAGGAAATAATATAAAACAAATCGTAAAGTCCTTGCTCCTTGGATCAGTACAATGATTTGATCCTGATTTGATACCTAGTCTTCAATTGTAAAGGAGTGACCCCTTGTGGATGAAAGCATCAACACATCAACTGCAGAATATTAATTTTGTTGTTTCCAAGATATCAGACAATGTGTATTCTGCAGTAATACATTTTGTTACTGGTGCGAAATTACTTCTTTAAATAATATACAGAACACTTTTTACAGTGCTGTGACACATTGAGGTGAATCTACTAAAACCCAGAGCAGCCAAAATCTGGAAAAGCTGTACGTGGCAATCAGGCAGTTTCTGTCTTTCATTGTCAAAGCTTAAAGCAGTATTAAACCTAAAACCAAAAATGTAATATACTGCAGCTTACTAATCATTAGATGCGGTTGTTCCATTCTTTTTTAGGCTTGTTTCCCTCTGTTTTCATCTGGAGATCTGGCCAGTAATACACCTCCTGTATTAGAGTGCCCTCACTCTGGATGGAGTAGGAACAGAGACACCTATGGACAGCAGCATTGTCAGCCTTGGGGTAGGGGAGTGTTAGATGTACTAGCAGATTTAGATACACTAACTAATTGAAGCCAAACTCAAGCTAACATTTTATAAGCAGTTACAGCTACAGTTTTTTTTTCCTTTTGAGATTACTCACACCAGCAATTAGGGCTGGTGCAAATAGCAGTATTGGCAGGAATCAGAGATTTCTGCCGCGTCTTTCAGCAACTACCAACCCTGTGTGCATCCAGCCACACTGATCCTTCTCCCTATCCTGCCCACATCTGATCCTCCCCCCACTGTGTGCCCTCTTATGTGCCTGAGTCCCTCCGCAGCACTGCTTGCTTTCTCTCCCCGCCAGGGCGCTGTGGGTACACAGGGGAATGTGTCAGCTGTCAGGACAGAGAGCAGAGGAAGGGGCCGGTAAATATATGATTTCCCAGCCCCTTCCTTTTCTGAACAGACACATTGAGCAACTGGTACTAATGGCTCCTGTGGCCATTGATAACTGAGCATAGGAAACTGTGTTTACTATGCTTCTGTTTATGAATGAACATGAGCCTCTGTCTCCTGTTCATTCATCTTCAATGCCGAGGCTACAGAGAAAGGAATTGGAGAATCTGTGTCCTTTCTCTGTCTCAAAAGTGTGATGTCAGGGGTCTGATATTTCAGCCAAGCCCCCCCCCCCCCCCAACAATGTTGAAACAAATTGTTAAAAAAAAAAAAAGCATTCTTAAAAACTGTAAAAAAATAGTATACAACAGGAAGGGCTCATTCACATGGGTTCTCTGGCCCATACAGTGTGACTGAGCAATTTGTATGCATATGGTCTGTGTACAGGGCTGTACACCTGCAACTGCAAGCCTGTGAAATTAGGACCTTTTGGTTGTGTTCATATAGCTGCTGCATCCCCATACCGTAACATAAGCTGCCTGAACACCGCTATAGCCACACCGAAAAAAAAAAAAACACTGATTCAAACTGTATTTAGGTATTGGTCTGCTTGTTAGATGGATGTGTTTTATTTTGCCTTAGGTGAACTACCCATCTATGAATTTGTGTATTTAGACATGTTGAGCAGTATTGAAAGTGGTATCTTTTCTGCTTAATGCATTCTGGAGGTAGCCCTGTTTATGAATGACTGATGTGAGAAAGGTTACAGGTATATATACCAGTGAAGTATAGTACACAAATCAGAGCTTTATATCAAAGAAGAGCCCTCTTTAATACTTCTCATGTTAGTATACAGTATTTGCCAGACAATTGCTTTAGGACTGCATGTAGGATGATTCTGGGACTGTATGCTTTTGTCACAATCTAATGTAGTTGTGGTTTTAGCAGCATGTTATCAACAGTGATAAATTAATTTGCACAGTAATACATAGAGAACCTACTACAGCGGGAGCAGCTAGGTAATTTAACCCATAACCAAGCTCTTGTTGTCATAACAGGATGGGACATCTTCCTCCTGGTGTCATGGACAGTAATAAAGAGCAGACAGGGAATTAGATCCTGCTTTGTTTTGCCAAAAATTTGAAAAATATCAGTAGGTTTGGCCAGAGATGCATATTTCACAAGGCAACTTAGGCAGCAGCCTTGGGCGTGGTGGGTGTCCTGGGGGCCCCGCTATATCATAGTCTTGCAGTAAACCACAGAGAGGACGCAGCTGGTTAAAGCTGTGCACTTACCTGTCACTTCACAATGGAGGATGGACTTGTACATAGTTGTGCCTGATATGGTCAGGCAAGTATAGACAATGCAAATAGGGAACTTCTTTGTGCTTACTGCAGTATTTGGTAGGGATAGGGACTTTTAAGGATTTTTCAGTGAAAGTTGAAAATCATTGTTATTTTCATTTTATTTTAGTTTTTCCAGACTTCAATAAATTCAAAATGAATACATTTTTTTCAGTTAACTTGCATATTTGTGTATAAGATATCTTACAAAAACATGTTGTAAGAATATATAATAAATAAAACAATGTGCAATATCAAACTAGTGCTGAGCAAACTGTTGGCGCTATATAAATCCAGTATAATAATAATAGTGAATAAGCTAATAAAATAGAGCCACTGCAATAAACACTTAAAACCTAAAACATACATAAAGAGTGTTGCGCTAGCTCATATAGACATAATAGTCCATAAACAGATTCAAACGTGATAGTTCAATTAAAATATGAAATAGAAATATGCATATACTGTAAAGTGCTTGAATGGTGAAAATCAAATAAGGTGCTTGAATGGTGAAGAATCACTACAATGTGCTCCGAATAAATAAAGTCTATTGAAAAAGAGGGTGCTCCACCTTAACGCAATGTTCCTCCACCTAAAAACATATATGGATGGCTTCTCCCCTCCTACTGTGGACCCATAAATTAATACCAGTCAAAACCAAGCATGCTAATTCCAAAACTATGCTCAAGATGGCAGCAGAGAGCTGATGACAGGCACCCATTCAATGACAGTATATAAGGGACTATACTCAGCTTAACTCCACATACAGAAAGAACAGAGGACATCTCCCATAGTGTATTAATGTTTTAATTCCACATAAAATAATTCCAGAGTGTCACTCACATGATAAAAGCAGTAAAACAGCAATTTCAATTCAAAACTCCCGCTCTATAAAAAGCCGGCAATGTTGTCACTAGGCTCCGCCTAGTGTAGTCATGTTATAGGTCAGCGGAAAATACCTGTAGTCACATGTCTTCATCTCTGACATCCTTTAGGAATTGTGTCGAAAGAATCAGTTTGACATCAGTTTGAGAGGCTTCCAAGATCCTTTACAGTTCACTGACAGGTGCATTTGATCGTGAACTGACCTTCTGATCCGCATTTGACCTGCTTTAGGGGGTTTTGCATTCCCATAGAGTTGTATGGGAATGAAAAAGCAATCGGATGAAAACAAAAAGAATTGACACTTGCCTTTTACACTGAGAAAATGGCGCTTCCTTATTTTTTCACATTCTGCCCAAGCACGTGAATCACATTGTGGTCTGCACAGAAGAAGTAGTGAGACAAGTCCGCATGGTCTATGGTTCACACAACAGTTTTCATCTCTTTGTAACCCTATAGGAGACTTCCTAAGATTGTCAGTAAAAGAAAGAAAAATACAGCCATAATGGATGTGGGGGGTGGAATATGTAAAAGACTCATCAATGCCATCATCCCAATAATATAGAGTCTATGTATTTTTCCATTATTGTTTATATTAGGCATACATTGAAAATATCATAGCTATATTTAATATATTTATAGATCTGTTTTGATCGAAAAAAATAACCCTGAATGGTAAGAAAGCAGTTCCTGGTGACATGAAAAGCACTAAATACACACCCTGACCTTTTTTATTGTAACATTGTTAAATACAGCAGTAATTACTCAAATGGTGTTTTGCACCGAAGCAGTTTCATATTATGGATTGTAGTTGCAACCTGGATGGATTAGGTATTGTGAGCACACAATGGAGGTTTTGCAGCATGTGGCTTCTGGTCATGAGATGTGTGCTTTTGTTGAACATGGATGTTTAACTTTATTAAGAAATATGCATAATTCATGAGCTGTGCTCAGTATCAATCTGTTATCACGTCCTAAATTTAGGAATATTTCCTCTGTGAGCTTTACAAGATGGGTAGCTTTAGCTCCACACAGTTCAGTTTATTTTGTAAACTATTGTGGTTTGACAATTGTAGATAAATTAATTATGTTGTTGCTAAGCCCTATTGCTAGATGTTTGTTCTCTGAGAGTTGTATTGCACTCCCAATTACTCTAGGCCAGTGTTTCTCAACCTTTTTTCAATCAAGGCACCCTTAAAATTATGGACAGTCTTGAGGCACCTCATTCTAAAATGTGTAAAACTATTCTAATAGTTTTATATAATGCAGCAACATCCACACATGTAGGACACCCAACATTAGAAGTGATTTATTCTTTCAAAGCAAATACACTTCTGCACACCAGTTAACTGAGCTAATGTGACCCCAGCACTGATGGAGAGGGGCAGGGGAGGGTCAAACTAGGATGCTGTGCAGGCAGCAAACAGCCTCCTTATTAACTGATGATGGTATTGGCTGTCAGGACGCCTGTGGCTAGAATGTCGTAATGGTGCCTGTGTGCCGTAATGAAAACCTGTGGCTTTGTGTAACTAAAAGGCAGGCCTGTTCCACCCGCTGGGTTGTGTACAAGTTTTGGGCAATTTTTGGACATTTTACCAAGGCACCCCTGGAATAACTTCAAGGCACCCAGGGTGCCTGGGCACCCTGGTTAAGAAATGCTGCTCTAGGCAGTCATAAACCTCAGGCTGTGTAAAATAAGCAGGCAATATATGTTAAAGAAATGTGTTCATTTAGAGAAGCTGTACACAGTTATTGCTGGGCGCAGTTGTAAAATGGTGGATGGTGTCATCATATACACTCAACATAAGGGTCGATAGGCTTTGGGATTGTGGAGATGGTATCAGGTTGACATCATTTTAAGATGCTTCTGAGATCATTTAGAATTCATGCACAGATGCATTTGACTTGCAGTTGACTTCCTTCTTACCTGCATTTGAACTTCTTTAATCAGGTTTTGCATTTTCAAAAATTTGTATGCAAACACATTTGAAAGGGGTCCTGTATGGTCCCAAAGCATCGGCTTGTGATGTTTATTGCTTTGGACAAGGCTATCTCTATACCATGGTGTGCAGATGAATGTCTGTCTTTTATTTCCTTATGCTTCCATTTAGACTCTGAACACTTCACAATAATTTTTTTTTTTTTATTACTCACTTTAGTACAGGTGGTTAGACAAACAAGCCCTTTATAAATGGGAACTAAACAAAAGATATCCTACAAATGTATAAAGGAGTTTATGAGTTGCAGTGTGATGTGGCAGAGGATATGGAAATGAGTCATTGTGTAATGGCAATGACTGTAAAATTATCAGGATAAGGATAATAGTTCTTGAAAAGTTTAGTATTTTGCATTTATGTATAAGATAATAAATTAACATAATGACTGCTTAGATGCCCCTAAAGCCTTCATTCACCTTTCTTGTTTTGTTCTGTGTTGAAGGTTTATGCATGGGGCTACAACGGAAATGGACAGCTGGGGTTGGGAAGCAGTGGCAACCAGCCAACACCGTGCAGAATAGCAGCTCTTCAAGGTATTCGTGTGGAACAGGTGTGTTTTGTTTAATGATTTCCTGTAATCTAAATATAAGGCTGTAATGCATGACAGACGAGTTCTGGAAAAAAAAAAATCTTATCTGGAAATGAAGAAAGGAGGTGTTTTTTTTTTTTTTTTTTTTTTTTTTTTTTTTTTTTCCTGCCTCTGTGATATAAGCCAGGCTGGTATTTATGGTCTATTTTATCCTTTCTCAACTTTTTTATCCCAAAGGAACCCTTGCAATAATTTTCAGACCCCAAGGAACTGCTGCCTAGATTACTCTATTAGTGGTCTTTGAAAAATGCCCCTCCTATTGGTGGTGGTCAGGGAGGGGAATGCTGCTTACATTGAATTCCACCCTTACAGTCATGACTCTGGCACTGCCAAGTGGTGTTGGATCTGAAATAGGCACCATCACATGGGAGGGCAATTAGCAAAAGCTTAAAGTGGTTGTAAAGGCTCAAGGTTTTTCACCTTCATGTTTTCTCTCCATGAAAGTAAAAAACCTTCTATCTGCAGCAGTACCCCCGCCCCCCCTAATACCTGAGCCCCATCTTGATCCAGCAATGTGCATGAAAACCTTGGCTGTTCCGGGTCTCTGTCCCTCCTCATTGGCTGAGACAGCAGCGGGAGCCATTGGCTCCCGCTGCTGTCAATCACAGCCAGTGAGCCATTGAGGAGACAGAAGCTGGAGGGTTGAGCCGTGGCTCAGTGTGTGAAAGGACACCCGAAGCAGCAGCTTGGGAGCACGCCTGCGCAGGTGCCTCCATAGCAAGCTGCTTGTTATGGGGACACCCAACAGAAAAGAGGAGCCAGGAGCAAAACCATTGCACAGAGCAGGTAACTATAACATGTATGTTATTGAAATAAAAATCCTGGTTGAGAATGACTGGTCCACATGAAATGTGTAATAGATCTAAAAAGAGAAACATTATCTTTTAGTGATTTTAGATATAATTGTGAAATTTAATCTGCTTGAAGAATCGATCAACTGTACAATTAAATGCTTCAAAAACTATGTTTCTCTGTTTTGTTATTATATTTGTACATAGAGGCAGATATATCCTATTGCATATGCAGGCTCTGTTTAGTAAAGCTTTATGAACAACTCTGTTGCCTTAAACTGGACATAAACATAAAGACTTCTCTTAATCAGCCCAGCAAAGTGAATGAGAGAAATCAATCAATTTCCTCCATCCATGCTAAACAGCATGGATTGACGAGCCTCCCACTGCCAGCTTTAGTATTCTGATAGCTGGTACCCACAGCTGTGTGACCACCCCAAACAATATCTTTAGGTTGTTTTACAAGGTGAGGGTTTACAATCGTTTTAATCTCTCACTGGGTATGAAGTTCTGTTAGGCCACACTAAGAGTATCTTAAACTCCTAAAGAAAAAAGATTTCTGACAGAATCAACAAATATTTTTTTGCACTTATTTAACCAAATGCTTTCAACTGTTTATGTATTATACATAAAGGGATCCTATACAAGACATTCATTGTTACCCCTTAAATGAAAATGTGTCTGCTTGGATCAATGATTTCATTTTGAGGTCAAGTTTCTGTGGTCTTGTCTAGTCCCACTTTCTTGTATATTGATTACTATGTATTCATACCAATTGATATGACCTCCCATCCTGACCAGTTTCTTTTTGGTTGTACTGTGAACTGTAACCGCATGTTCTGTCATACTGTAGTTTGTGTTGCACACATCACCAGGGATTTATAGTGGAATTTCACACTCTCAATCAACAATGACTATTTTGAATCTGTAACATTAGTAAATAGATAGGAAAGTATATTGTTTTTACAGTTTTTTTTTTACATTTCTTTAGTTACTCCCTAGTTTCTATGCCTAGACAAGTGATATTATACATCCCAGGAGTCTTCAGGAGGGGTTTTCTCAGTTAAGCACACCCTCCTGCCTGCATGCCTGAGCTAAGGGCAAATAATTCCAGGAAGTGTTTCTTGAATCATCTGTCCTTACTCAAGCAAAAAGCAGGGAGACAAGGATGGATGGGTCAGTTTACTTTAAATATTAAAAATGAATTAAATAGCGCTTTGGATTTGTGGTGCTGTAATATACTGTAGTTCTGAGTTATGCTCTTTATTAGCCTGTGCACATTCCTACACTCCAGTATATAGTGTACAGCAAGTATGCTTGGTTCATGGTAAACAATAAATTAAGAAAATGTAGTGATCAATAATTTAACCAACATTTTCTGACAGCTAGAGAATTATTGTGCTTGCCGTTCTAGTAAATGCTTACTGTCTTAAATGTCACCCCCTTTCCTGCTGACATTTTATTCCTTATACAAAGGAGTGTTGGAGAGTGTTCGTGCAGGATTTCCTGCCGTCTAAAATGAAAAAAGGCTCCGGAGTGTTTGGCAGATGATAAAAAGGCTGCCATAGCAGGGAATGTTTGTTTTTTAATCATGTAGCCTTTACACAAATTAGTTTTTTTTCTTTGTATTTTTATCATGATGTATTTAGAACTCTGCAGGTAATGATATTGTATTTTGCAGATTGTGTGCGGCTATGCTCATACCCTAGCACTAACAGATGAAGGTGGAATGTATGCTTGGGGTGCCAACTCCTATGGTCAGTTGGGTACAGGAAATAAGAGTAATCAGTCCTACCCCGTTCAAGTGTTTGTGGAAAAAGAAAGGTAATTTTTTATTCAGTATTTTCATTCAAGAAGTACCATTCAAGGAGAGTGCGATGAGCTCCACTATGGTTGGGATACTTTAAACACGTAATTCGAAGGCTGGCCATACACTATACAGTACTTTCTGATTGATCTTCTTGTATGTTTTACACAATTCACAAGCTCCTCTCTCACACTGAGAATGACTTATTCTGATTTTACTGCACACTGTGAACTTTGCATTCAGTCATCATTGGCCACAAATCGGATAGAGCGCTCTTCATTTCTTGGTTGGAGAATGTCCAGCATCATGTAGTTCTTTTCTCCCCAGCTGAACTATTACTTACATCACTAGCTTTACCCTGCCACATGGGCAGACTGCGCTGAGCAGGTGAATGACAGGTGTGTGTCCACTTAGTTTATGCAGAGTGGACACGGATACAGCCCGCTTTTCTCTGTGGGCAGTCGGATGTAAATAAACTGACTGACTGTTTACATCTGTCATCTGATTTAATCTGCTAGACTGATGGGGAACAGATCCCCCTCCCCCATCCATCTGTTTTTAGTGGATTGGATGCAGGTGTGTGTAAACAGACAAGCGACTGTATACATCCACCACACCATAGAGTGAAATGGGTGGTCCGATCGGGTCCTCTTGAAAAACGGACTATAGGTCTGCTCGTGTGGAAGGGGCCTAAATTAAATATGTAGTCAAAACACATATTTATTTATATTTATTGTCATTATCATGTTGATGGAAGTAGAGGGTTAGGAGTCAGGCAAGGCAACAGTTTAATCCTCAATCTTGCATTTATGAGATGTATGATCAAAGGGAGTGTGCAGTAGTTTTGTACATAATTTCTTTAGAATGGTCAGAACTAAAAATAGTTTAAGATAAAGAGGAAATGTATTAGAAAAGTGTACTGAAAAAACTGTTTTGGATAAAGAAGAATTTGAACCTCTGACAGGTCTGTGCTGATGACTGTTTCCACAGGTTAGTTTTCAACTCTTCTTCACTGTTAAAAATAGCTTTTACTGCTGTCTGTATCCCTATTTGAGACCTTAAAGTGTTACTAAACCCAGGACCGTGCATTCACTATATCTGGTCTCCCACAGTACACAGAACATGGAAGTGCAGTTTTTTTCAGTAAATAAAAACTGATAAATACCTTTTCTCATCAGCAGTTAGAGCAGTCTTGTGACTTCAACTGTGCTCTGGTTAAAGCTTGTAGGAGGAGTTTTTTCTCTAGGAGGATGGAAATCCTCTGACCTCTGTCTGTACAGTGCTGGATGGCCCAGTGCTAATCACAAACACTCTCCCAAGAAAAAAAAAACAAAAAAAAAAAAACCCTCTAGCAATACACACTAAACTGAGCATGTGCAGAAGGGCACGGTTCAGTCTGTCTGATCAGCTTGGGCATTTGAACAAGAGAGGGGGCAGAGAAGAAAAGATCAAACAGCCTTTTTACACAATGCAGAGGATTAACCCCTTAGGTTCCACAGTGAGTATAACAAGCATGCTTTACTGCATATACAGACTGATTTTGCTGTTGTGGGTTTAGTAACACTTTAAGCGAACTACCTGTCCCAACATAGGCGAGGAGGGGTGCACTTTCAAAGCACAATGAAACTCTGTAGCTGAAGTTTAGGTATGGCAATTATTACATAGTTACATTGGTCCAGCTTGGGCAAATGTAAGTGTGTATGTGCCATGCCTGCTGGATCCCCGTAAAAGCTGGAAATTACTGTAGTAGACAATGCTACAACAGTGATCTCCACTAGCTTCAGGGTCCTGTGCCGTGCAGCTGTCCTGCGCCTTAGAGAACACAGAAGTTTGCTCAATTGGCATGGATATCAGAGAACACTTCACATTTTCTCAATCAATGCAAAGTGTTCTCTGACTGGACGAGATGGAGAGGTGGTGTGGCGACATCAACTTCTCCACCTAGTCTAATCTGAGAATACTTTGCATTTATTGAGAAGATGCAGTGTGCTCTCAGAATGGCACCCCTGCCGAGCGAGTGACCTCCTGTGTTCACTAAGCAGCAGGGTACAGGTCCCCACAGGTATGATTCATATATATACTGTATATTACATTGGTCAAAGCCGGCCTGCAAGAATGATCATACCTAAATTTCACCTTTTAACATTGAACTCCAAAAATTCAACTACTTTGTAAAATGTGCAGGTATACAAATGAGGTGAATGCCATTTCCTGGGATTATCTATTTTATTTACATCTAACGTTTTAAGGCTCCATGCACAGTGGGAGTTTTAATAGTTGTAAAGTCAAAAAACGCAAGTTTTTTAGCTTTTTTGTATCAGCATTTTGCCACGGTTTTTTCGCATTTGCGTTTTTTAGACCAAAAAAAAAAGTAGTAGATTTACCGTTTTTTGTCACTTTTTCAGCATTAGAGCGTTTTTACAGCTAAAAAAATTGTCTACAAAACCCACTAGTTCTGGGGTTTTTTTCCAGCCAAAAAACGCCCCTGCCAAAAAATGTTGTGTGAATGGACGTATAAGATAACATGCTGGGGAGTTTACTGGCTGTAGAAAAAAACGTCAACAGCCGCTGTAAAAATGTCCAGTGTGCATGAGGACTTGGGCTTCATGCACACGGGGCGTTTTAATAATGCTGGTGATGTTAGCTTTGTAAAGTCATTGTTAAAAACGTGCATTTTTCAGTGTTTTTTAGCGTTTTGTATTAGCATTTTGCGGCATTGTGCCGCGTTTGCATTTTTTTAGAGTTTTTTTGACCAAAAAAAATTTGTTTTGGTTAGAAAAAGTAAAAAAATGCTGGTGTGCCTTGATTTGCTACGTTTTTCAGCGTCAGAGCGTTTTTACAGCTAAAAACTCTTCTCTAGAAACCCACTAGTTTTCAGGGGGTTTTTTCCAGCCAAAAAAACTTTACAGTCTACGTGTGCATGGACACATAGGATAACATGCTGGGGAGTTTACTGGCTGTAAAAAAAACCATTAAAAGCCAAAAACAGCAGCTGTAAAAACGTCCAGTGTGTATGAGGACTTATGGAGCTCCTGAGAATACACTCTGGGGCTCAGAGAGGAGAGACACCGTGTTCTCACACACAGATGCTGTGCCTGCCCCTCCCACCTGCTGCCCATTCACAGAACACTTTGTATTTTGTGAATGATTTACAATGTAAAGCACGCTGTGATTGGGCTGAAGGAGAGGAAGGGCAGGCACAGCAGCTGCCTGCGACTCATCTGCTGAAGGAGCTGCGACTAGAAGGCTCCAGAAGTGTAGTGATAGCTATTCTTCAGAAGTGCCATAAAACTGTCAGATGTAAATAAGAGATAAATCCACAAGGTGGCATGCACCTTGTTGGACTTGAGAGGTATGGCTTTTGTTTTTTTCCCCACTTATACTTACCTAGGTGGATACAGCATTGGTCCGATGCTGCATCTGTCTCCCACTGGCTCTAAGTGTGAGAGCTCAGCGATTACATTACCGCTCGTCGCTGAGTTCTCACAGCCGCTCTGAGCAGAGAGCAGTGATTGTCAGTCACTGCTCTCTGCTCTGCCCCCCACAGTGCTCACTGGAGTGCTGGGCTGTGGAGGGGGAGGGAGGGAGCTGCTGGCTCAGGCTCTCAGCCCTTTGCTGAGAAGCTGTGCTAGGTGCTACTCCAGACTCTGGGGTGGATCCGGACTTTAAAGTCGGGATCTTTCCCCAACCTGAACCGGCTGAGTGATGTCGGCCAACAGCAACCTTCAGCCCGCTGTCGGCTGAAAACAAGTTACAGGAGTGCAGAACGAACTGAGCTTTGGCTGTATTTCTCTTTTAAATAAAGGGCATGATTCATTTGTTGTACCTATCACATTAACTGACTGATTTAGAAATATGATCAGGCAAGTTCAAAGTTATTTCTTTTGTGTCCCGCCAAAGCTGGCTTAAAATGCATTGTTTAGCAAAGACATCATATTTGTGAATGCAAGGATAAGACCTTTTACAGTTTGCATGCAAAATATATTATTTGCTGAGTAAGTAGCATTTCTTATTGTAACTTACATTACAAAATTATATACTTTATGAATGTTGACAAAATTGTAAAGTGCTGCGTAAACTGTTGGAGCTATGTAAATCCTTTATTATAATAATAATAATATACAACCAAGTACAGAAAGGAGCACAAGAAATGTGTGGAATGTTGCAGGAGGACATTTTCTGCTAAACTTCAACTTCCTCCTTTTTATTACATTGTTTTTCAATTGCAGTGTTTCCAGAATTTCTAGTATATTACAGCATATTAGTCTTCATGGAAGCTTTCAGTGGTATTATTTTTGACTCATTAGTTGAGTAATATAAATGTGTATGTCACCTAAGTGAGCCTGTTCATGCATGCAGTATATTTGCGTCAGTGGCAGCTCTTGGAACAAAATATAGGGGGGGCACATAAGATATCACAGTCCAAACTGGAGGGGGGGGCACTGATAATTCTCACCACTAAATCATACCACTGAAAAATACTAAATAAGTATATATAAATAAGAATACAAAACACAAGAGTAATGCGGTATGCAATGATACCTTTTTATTGTACTAACCTAACACTTAAAGGACAAGCTTTCAAGAGTTTTCCTTTCTTCTTCGGGAATTGCTTCAGACCTAAGAAATAGGAGACTACAGGAGATGGTCAGAGACTGCAGACATACTACAGGAGATGGTCAGAGACTGCAGGCATACTACAGGAGATAAAAGCAGAAACACCACCTCCTGCGCTCAGGGACCCAGATCAGAAATAGGTGGATGGATCAACCTCTATGGGAGTTCGTCCATCAACGGATCAAAGGTTGTGCAGCTCTTAAACAAAGCTGGGGGAGCCCTACCAATACTGCAAATGAGAACAAAAGAAAGCGCACCAACCTTGTGCAGTACCTCAGTAAAAAATGTGAATTTATTAAAATAGGATGTATACTCACAAATGTAGCAGTATAAAACGCATATACAGTCCAAAATTGGAACACTGGAGTATGAGACACGTGCGAGTCAAACCAAAATGGGA